GATGTATATGCGCTGGATTACCGTTGTCTTGGGATGTTTTCTCATAAACAGGAATGCAATTTGTTTTGTTAAAAATACTTTGTGTCGTGTTAGGAATGGTATATGTTGAACTATCATCTTTGTTTAAAAGCGTTGTCTTATAGCTGGGAATGCTAAATGCATAGAAGTTAAAAAAATTGTAAAAACACAAGATATATAAACAATTCAAGTGTGTAATACTTCCATGTGTTATTTCTCCACTTTTCTTCAAGATATTTCAATTAAACAGGATGAGAAAGACATTTGTAGCTTATATTATCCACCATCGCTTTGACAGCCATGTGTGCTAGGTTTACGTTTAGTAGACTTCATACTGCACTCTGCAGGTACAATAAAAGTTATAAAACATATTTATATGAAGATATTATTCTTTTTAGTGAATGGCACATTAAGGAACGATGTGAAGAAGAGAATAAAAACAGAGTGAACATACCTTTGCCACTAACTTGTAAACATATGAAGTCGTATTCAACTTTATAATCATCCCATTCTTGGACACCTGTGGAAATCAGGCTGTTGCAAAGAGCTTGGTAAGCCACATCTGATATGTTTTTTGAAACCAAATTTGAAATCTGTACTTCAGGATCGTGAAAAGATTTTTCCAAAACCTGAAAACAAAAATCAAAGTTCTTAAATTGTAGTTTACTAAAGTTTATTAAAAGAATTGCGTTATAAGCAAGAGCTATTCTTGTTCAACGGATATACTGATAAAGTAACACTTTTTTACAATGTCAACTTAGGTATGAAATATCTTTGCTTTGAAGAAAACACATGGTAAGTAAGATTACTCAAACCTATCGCCATCTATTATGACACAATAGCATTATAGCGTCCTTTTGATCATCACTTTAAATGGCCAAATTCAAGCAGTTAATGAATTCATAATCGTTTTTAATGGCTGCCTTGTTGTCCTGTAAGCATTCCAACACATCTTTCTTGTCATGTAAGGCAGTTTCCAGCAGTGCTTTCCATTTATCTTTAGTCTTCCAGTTTATCATGGAATAATCATGTTCTAGCAATAATTTAACGACTTCGACAATTCAATCCTGTGCTGCGATATGAAGAGTAGTGGAGTCCTCCTGGTTCTTAAAATTGAACATAAAATTTGGTTGACATTTACTTTATTATATGGAAAAACATTTAAAAAAAGTGATGTATTTTTAAGAACAATCTCTTGTTGTTAACACTATTCTCTTGTTGTTATTGTATAAAACATTCACTAAATGGTTTTCATTGTTTAAAATTCCTTTTCAAACTCTTAGAAAAGTTGCTCGAGTTTAGAAAAGCGGTACAATAGCACTCGCCTTTGGCTCACGTTTTGCGCACTTCACTTAACTCTTGCTTAGCTCCTGTGTGTTTGGATAAGGCAGTCGAAAAACAGTAACCGTTTAGTAAAGGTGAATTATTCTCAAGTATAAATATGCAGGATTACCCAAATTCAAACATGTAGTAGTGAATAAAATGTTTTGTGATCTTATGTTATATGACACTTTATAAACTTGGCACAACAACATGCATAATTATGTGCACACTAGTTATGGCATAAATCCAGAGCATTGCCTTATACTAATGGCTAAATTTCATTGAGCCAACAATATTGGACATGGAGTTTGAAAATTGACATTGTAAAATACAATACAGTAAATTTCCATTTAATAGATTAATGCAGGTCAGGATGCTTTGAAATTTAAATAAATGCAACAGGAATAAACACCCCATGTGCCCCTTCCCATCATATTCCTAACATTAAAGAGAGTAAGCCATAAGCATTACAGAAATACAAGTATAGACCTATAGCTATGCATTACAATGTCAAGCATAGTAAGCAGTAAGCACTTCAAGCTACTTACTTTAAAGCCCGCCAATTATCTCCCATATGCTAAGGGATAAGCAACTCTGCGTTAAGATCTCTCGCCAGCTTTCCTTTCCGAAACAGGTCTGTTTTAGTCGGAATGGCAGCAGAGACTTTTGCTTCATAATCCTTTCTTACAGACGAAATCTCGCTGGTTTTACTGTCTTGAATCAATGAGCCAAGATCGTATATATGCCTACTTTCAGCTTTATGACTTCAAGATATAAATAAGCCAAACGCTATGGTCATGTAATTATAATTTTGAAGGTTTTAAGATTTATAACGCTGGCTCAAGTACACCAGTCAGAATGAAATTTTGGTGTTCGTGGGCTTAAGTGCAACAGTCAGCAGTGATTTCCCACCGTGACGTAGGCTAAAAAACAATGAAATTCGTGACGTTTAGGTGGTTCACTCGGCCAAAGAGACTCGGGACTGTTGCACCAACTGGTGCACTTTTCCCCACCGTGACGTAGTGATTCACTATCTAGCCACCGTGACGTAGTAATACAAATTCAGCTCAGTGTAGCTGGATTATGAAACAAATTTTCGCTAAAAATGTCGACACATAAAAACGCCATATTTAGCGACGCATTTTTTAACAATGCGGCTGTAATCAATATGATACTCACATGTAAACAATCTACGAAGGCTTTTAACAATATTTCTCAATGATCAATGTATATCTGTTGTCAATGTATTGTCAGTGTTAAGGTATTTAAAGCATTTAGAAACTATAAACGTTCCAATCTGATATATTTCTTGCATTTTGCTCATATTGATTGTAAGTTATAATGTTGTGAAATATTCAATTTTATGACTGATGCACTCGCATCAGTTGCACCACCCTGGATCCGCCCTGTCATGACAGTAATATAATTGTATTTTTATTAAGGCATACATAATATTTGCATCATCAAATATTATATAAAGGTCTATAGATCTGTAGTTGAGAAACATACAGTGAGGCCTCCCATTTAATTTTTTGTTGTATTACGCATAGCTTACTGCTCATTTGATGGCCGTAGTGGAACCAGTAAATTGCATAATCTACAATTAGAAATGAGGAAATTGTTAATGGCTGCTATTATACTAAATGAACATACAGCAGTAAATTGCGAAACAAAGTGGACCAACTATATATTCCATATTCTGTGATACATCTTGAACTGATGTTGACTAAAATTTAAAAAATAAAAAGCTGAAAAGATCATCTGTACAAGGTACGTAATATAAATTATGTGAAAAAGTATCTGCGCGCACATGACTGTCGTTCGTTAAAATCAAGGAAATTACTTTTTTTGTTACGTGACACAAGTCACAATTGACATTTCCTATATTTATGACGCCAGTAAAAATCTTTTAAATATCTTATTTAACAATTTAACTTATGTTTAAAAGAAAATTTTACATGCAATGGTCGTTGAGAATTTGTGCATACAATACATAAATAGAAACTTTCACAACTTGGCAATATTTCGTTATTGACAGACTACAATATCCGAGTTTCAGAATGACACAAGTTTCTTTTTTTTTAAAACACAAGCAGTATTGCGGCTTTTTATCTACTTTTTCAATAAGAAAGCTAAGAAGCTCCTTGGCATCAGACGAAAGCAAACATATTATAGAATATACAATATCCAGAATCATGGACGAAAACAGGGCTTTTGCTTTTGAATTTTATTTTTGTTTACACGAGTTCTTCTCACGAAGTAAACCAAGCACCATTTCGATTAACTTCTTCTTACACTGTGCCTTTTCAGGCACTTATAACTAAGACAACCTTAAAATGTTTCAAACAATTTTTATTGGTTTATATATTTCCGATTTAACACTTGCATTTACTGTTTCTCATCTATCACGAGCAAACCATCCATGTGCTTCATGGAAAACGAGTATCTGTTTCCCTTGATCAACATGCGGAATTCTTCTCATAAAAGCTAAAACATTCAAGGATACTACAAACGTTTAAACAACTTCTGCCTACTTCACTTATAATTTAAGCATGTTTATACGTGCTTTTACTTGTCACTTTTTGCAATGTAACTTTCTCATACCTCTCTTGTGATGAACGAGAGCCTCCTTATACCATATAACTCTCTCACCATCAACGAAAGCGTCAAAGGGCTTCATGGAAGATAGGGAATATCTAATTTTTTATAATAGTTTCTGCAAAGATAACATTTAATAAGCCAAGCAATTTGTATCGTCTAAGTTGGACCTCGCTTTCAAACCTTATGTTATAAAATTTTGATTCACTTTGGACAGTAAATTTCTTTTACATTGCAATATTTTCATGATTCAATGTTTGAAAGAACTTCTTAACTCGAGTAATTTTGCGATTAAAAAAGCACAGTCTTCGGAATCAAAGGAATTCTTTTGATCGCATGGAGACAGCTGTCCAACTTATTACGTACCTTTTGCGTATATAAAGCATTTCCAAATCACGTACAAAATTTCCTTTACATGACCAAATTACCGTCTATTTAAACGATTTGTGTAACTTTATTTACTTTGTTTAAACAATTTAAAGAAATAAACTATTTTAAGATATGTATCCATTTAAAATCTGAAAAATGATTTTTATGAATAGACTAAAACAAATCATTAAAGGCCACAACACTATGCCTTACCATTCAAATAAGGTCTCAAATGGTTTTTGCAGGGTAAAGCAACTTGCAATCCAGTTACTCTTCTTGTTATGTGTACACTTAAAACATAATATTTCATATAACAAGTGTAAAAGTGGTTGAAAGTTTTATACTTGTGAAGAATAGAAATTTAGTGTGATTTTTTGTCATGGAATTACAAGTGCAGAAAAATCACTGAAGAGTTTCATGCATTACAACTTAGGTACGCAGTTTGTGCCATGGCAATTTAAAAGTACACGCTTTATCTTTTTAATGCGAAGTTTTATTAAACAGTAAGCTAAGTAATTAAGTAAAATACACTTTCTGACTACAACAAATATTTTTTTCTTCTGAAACCATAACCTTTAATAACGTGTCAAGTGGGTGCCATAGAGCTTCAACCTACACAAAAAGAGATTATAAAATTTTTAATTTTTCATTAATGTTTAAAAATAAATACGTTTTTTGATTGTTACCTTTCCACATTTTACAGCATCTCAAGTAATCAATATTATGAAGCCAATTCCCTTTATAATCTCGTCTTAACCCAGCAATGTAGTAGCCATCTTTTTTGCACATTGTCCATCCTTTCTTTTTGAAATCAGTTTTTTGAAAGCTACAGCCACCATATTTTTTGGGATGATTAAATGGTTTGCAACACATCCCTCTTTCGATGTTATATAAGTGATTGCCACACGAACGATACAGACCATATAGAAAATACCCTGCTGGACAAATATTCCATGTTCCTCGTCTAAAATACAATTTGTTTGGTAATATGTTTCTGTCTTTATTTCATCAATTTAATTCTTTAAGACATTGCAAATTTTTTAATTAAAAAGCTGTTTCAGTCGCTAATTTTCATTGCGAAAAAAATTAATAAACATTACGCAGCTCATAAAAAAAACAATTCTTAAAGTTGATTGCAAAAAACAGAATATCTCAGCTATCAGGAGCTAGCAAAACGATCAGTTTTCACAACAACGTTAAAAGAGGAGTAAAGTACAAAACTCGATTGAAATGAAAAGTCAAAATGTCAAAACACAACAACAAATAATTAGTACCATCTCAGATTAACCCTTTCAAAAATTTTCCATATAAGGAACTCACTTATTGACATAAAATTAAACCGTCATGATTGTTCATGGTTGTATGGTGTGCGTAATGTTTCCTCTTTTTTGGTTTTTCGTTCATTTTCACAGTAGCATGCACTAGCTTGGTACACCAACACACAATTATTGTCTAAAAGTATATTTCTAGGAAAAGGTACTAACATGTTGAAAGTTCTCTCCCAGTCAGCGTTTTTACAATTAATGTATTGGGCGAAATATTTTGGACTTAACGGGCAGCATTTTGCTTGTTCAAGACGGTCGAGTCCATCATATTTAACTACGCTGTTACGATAAAAGCCAGTGATAAACTTGTTTCGGGGGCCACAGGTCGACCATCCTCTTTTTTTGAAAGATATCCCCCAATTAGCGTTCACGCAGACAGGATGAACAAGGGCTGGAATTAAAATGGAAATAATTATTTCTAACGAAATAGCAGTATAAAACTAAATTGCAATAATTCAGTTTGGAAACTTTTATTTTACATCTAATCATTTTTAAAAGCAAAAATCTTGTTGGATATTATCCATTGTCAACTTGTCTTAAAGAGTAGTTGTCAAAAACTTATTATGTTGTAGAATTATCTAACTAGCTATAATTGGCATATAAATGTAAGTAAATTTACTTATTCATAATATTAAAGAAATATTTGCAAGAGTGCCTATCGTATAAAACAATCACTGAAGTCGTGTTCTAACATTTACAACGAAATATCATCCAATTTTGAAAAATTTAAATATAGTGTATCCAAATTAGTTCTGTTGAGAAAACCATCTATAATGACTTTGATGACGCATGTGCACAATGAACAAAAGGTAACGCTTTCATGTTTCCAATTCTTTTAAAATACAAATACAGAAAAGAATAGATTCGAGGCAGACCAGGTGAAATAAGTTAATCGACAGACTAAAATTTTCAGAAAGAAAACTTTTGAAATTTGAATACGATGATAAAATTTGAGTTAATGTATTTTTATTAACAAGTATTTAATTCATCCTCTCCAAGGCAATGTTTAGATGTTAAAGATTTATTTACTTGATATTTTTGCAGCTAACTGATTTTGACTTGAAGGTAGTACTTGTTGCAATGTTGACTGTTCAAAGTCATAATAATTTCTTTGTCTTAGTAGGTTTGTGACAAATTGTGTGTCTTGTAAGTTAAAGAAATCTTGCTCTGTTTTGATTGTTAAATAGTAATTATGAATCCAATAAATTGGCTTAACATCTTAGACCTTTGGTTTAGCGAAAAAATTGAACGAATCTTCACAAGTTTCGAATTTAAAACCAGAAGCACATTTACAAGAGAATTTATCTCCATTGTTTGTACAAACACCGTTGTTTTTACAAGGACGTTTGTCGCACGGTGTTGGTATTAGGGAGTTTTAGCAGAGCCTACGTGTACGACTACGAGTACGATTTACGTCATTTTGGCGCGAAAACATTGTTGCGACAACAAAAACACGTGGCCGTCATCAATCTGCGTACGATGTTTTGTAAAAAATTCGTAGTCGCGACTACGATGTCTTTTTAAGCAAAGAAAGTAGGTGTAATTCTTCATTCTGTAAGAAATTAGTTTACAGTACTATTTTCGAGCATCCAGGCTTTCATTTAGAACTCTTTTTGAGTGCAGATGTATATTAAAAAGGAAAATATGACCTGCAAAACTTTCATGTATTTCGTACGCAAAGTGAAAGGTAAACAAACAATAAAATAGTGCAAATATATCGTACATAAAACTTAAAATAGTGAAGATTTTTCAGTCTAAAGAGTCCAATATTCTCGCAAAACCAGTATTATCGATTCTTTGATATCATTATTGTCAAATAGAGCCGTAGCTGCTTTGCAAACGTCGGTGTTTTACACAATAAAAAGGCTCGTTCTGTTGTTTACAACTAAAGCAAAATTTTGACGAAGCGACAACGACAGCAAACTTCATCGTGCCATTCCCTTACACGGTTAAATTTCGTACTCGTAGTCGTAGTCGTACTCTTGCTAAAACTCCCTGTTAACTCTGCAAGCGTGAAGATAAAAATTAAAACATTAGTAAATAAATGTAATTGCGAACTAAGCATTCCAAAACCCAACACTAAATCCATTTTTTTCCTTCCTATTTGCCATAACCTAAAGTTATTTAGTAAACAACCATCGAAGTTGCTAGCTTTTCATATAGAGCATCTTTTTTTTAATAGAAGTAAATGGTATATCTTCATAATCTGAACTGCTTTGAAAAGATTATTTCATTTGTATTACAATTTGCTAAAATGATTAAGCACTTTTTGTCTAATATAATGATAAATTTTGATAATTTTTTTACCAAAGACATGTGCCAAATACTAATAAACGATGATATGGAAAAGCCGCGTCTGTTTGTGTCATTGATATAAAAAACTAAAATTATCAATAGTTTCAAGTTTTAGGTCATTTGGCGTCATTTGAAGTTTGACATCATAAATTTGCAAAATTTGCTTTGTATAAAAATATCTGGATTGGTCCAGTTTTAAATACATGTTGACTGTATTTTAATTAAGAAAACGTATGAGTACACTTACTCTGGCAATTCATTCCAGTGAAACCATATTTACATTTACAGTTATAAGAAGATCCAACAGTTGTACAAACACCTTCATTTTTACAAGGTTCGCTGGCACAAGCGTTAGGGACTAAAATGAAAAAAAACATCAACCCTAAACATTGTGATGAAAATGCACTACAAAATTTTTGTTTGTATTGTAATTGATGATTATATCACATGTAGCTAATAAATATTTGATAATTGTGTTTATGTCATATATACTCAATTACGTTCTTGGAATTACGTTTTTTAGGTTCGATATGATTTACAGTGAGCTTAACACCAAGTTGTATTTGATATTTGAATGATTATAAAGCTTTTAATGACCCATATTCAAGTCTTTTATACATGGAAATCAAATTGTATTTTCAACAATAACTTCAAGGAGAACTCAAGCCTTGCTAACCTTCATGAGTGTTGCCTTCAAAGCCAACAGCACATTCACACGAGAATGCATCTCCATTAATTGTACAAATACCATTGTTTTTACAAAGACGTGAGTCGCAAGATGATAGTGGTAACTCTATGAACACAAAATTATCGTATTGCTGTAGATAATATTTTGCCTTGATATTTCAACACAATACAAAATTAAAAATAATTGCACAAAAAACTAACTTCTATTTAAAGTAACAATGATATAGCTAGAAGTTTGTTAAAGTTGTTTGGAGACCAAATTTAGAATTATTTTCTTCAAAAGCTGTGGAAAATCCCACTTTAATGTAAAAACTAGTATTTGTATTTATGACTGTAGTAGTTTCAGAGAAACGCACTTAAATGTGGTAAACCTATTTATATTTATTTCTTTTTAAGTTGGGGACAACTAAAATTTAAAAGGGTGATATTTTGATGGCGGTAAAAAGTTGTATAAAAGTAAAAGTAAACAAAAAAAAGTAACTAACTTTTGCAGTATTGCGTTTGAAAATTTTATTGTTTGTTGATTAAATATAGGAAAGTGTTTGTCAATCAATTTCAAATAATCTTGTGCAATGTTAGTTGCAACGTTTTTATTAAAAGGTGGATTGAACCAAATAATATTTCTAGTGCATTTTTATTTGTTGGACTGGGTGTGTTTCTCTACCTTAGTTGAAAATGATGTTGTATTGAATTTGCTGTCTTCTATAGCGTTGCTGTAAATTTGAGCTACTCGATGATATTTTTGTCAGAAGATATGGACGAAATCCTGTGGTTTTTCAAGACTGGTATTTGTTTAATGATAGAGAGACTAGTAGTTGTTTAATTATAGAGACTAGTAGTTGTTTAATGATAGAGACTAAAAGTTGTTTAATTATAGAGACTAGTAGTTGTTTAATGATGGAGACTAGTAGTTGTTTAACGATAGAGAGACTAGTAGTTGTTTAATTATAGAGAGACTAGTAGTTATTTAATGATAGAGAGTAGTAGTTATTTAATGATAGATGGAGGATGATTGGAGTACTTATAAAAAAATAGGTGATTAATACTTTCGTGTATTTTGTTTTGTATTTGAAATACACCTTTTTTTATAAAATCTTCTTGTTTATATATTTTGTATTACTCTTATTTATTTTTAATATATATATATATGTATATAATCACAGGCTCACCCTTCTCTATTTTTATGTTTACTACCGCTGACTGCCTCAAAACGATCCCCGGTTTTCTGTATCTCTCGATTATATATATATATATATATATATATATATGACTACTTTTCTAATATATAGAATATTGAATCCAGGATTATTATATATATATATATATATATATAGGAAGTTTATAATTTATGATTTTCCGTATAAAACAGTGCTCGATTAGTATACACAAAACTACAATTTCATCCCGACAAGCCTGTTTCGTGATAATTTAATCACGAAACAATGATTGATACATATATATATATATATATGCTAACTATGAAAGCTTGTTCAATAAAAACTTTATATCATTCTTTATATCAAACTTTAAATCTCGTTTTACTGCGTTATATGTAATCCTCATATATAATCACGCATTTTTTCTTGTTACGTAGTGTTACAATGAATGTAAGTTTTCCAATTACTTGTTTCACAGTTAATACCAATAAAGTCTGGAGGGCATGTACATTTGTATGAACTACCATCAACAACACACGAACCACCATTCTTACAAGGACTATGATCACAAACTCCAACTATATCAAAAAATATATTTTAGAAAAAATTCATCAGACAAATTTTGAGCTATAAGTATTATTAGCAATATGCAATGGAACGGTGAATAAAATTTCGGGTAACACTGATTATGTTAAAATTAAAAACTCTATATTTAGTAATTTTAATTGACAGCAATATACTGAAAACAACACTATATATGTGTTTTTTTTTACAAAAAAGGCATGCAAGTATTTCAAAACGTTTATATTAAAATCACACAAAATATTTTAATAAAAAAAAAAACAAGGAAATTATGATTTTCAATTGTTGCATAAGTCACTGAACATGGAAATAATAAACTGATTTTCATTAATTGTGCATTTTAAGTGTGTGGCTATGTATAAAGGACTTGCTCACCAAAATTAGGCTTAAATGGAATGACAGTTCATTTTATTAAATATTTCTCTTTTAATTTATTTTTTATCGTACTGAACTTTTGAAGCCAATAACGGTTGATTTTCTAAAACATATGTGTTGTTTCTTAATTGTAAAGTTCCTTATACAACAGGAAATTTTTATGCTTAATCATAAAACTCTGAATAACTATTTGTATATTTGCAGTTTTGATATATTTTCGTTCTAAAATATGATATGTAGCTAGAAAGGCGAAAGGACTTTGTCTTAACCTGATTAATAAAGAATTAGTTTTTATGATTCTTACCACTCCACATTTTACAGCATTTACCACAATCTCGTCTTAACCCAGTGACGTAGTAGCCATCTTTTTTACACACTGCCCATCCTTTTTTGTTGAAATCATTTTTGATATTTTCATAGTAACAATCACCATACTTGTCGGGATGATTGACTGGTTTGCAACATTTTCCCTCTTTGAGGTTGTGTAAGTGTTGTCCGTTTGTGCAATAGAGACCATTTAGAAAATATCCAATCGAACAAGCACTCCATCCTTTTCTGAAATACATTTTTAAGGAAATATGTTTGTATCTTTATTTTTTTTGAGGATTGAATGACACACACAGGACTGCATTTACTATTTTTTTTGTCGTTTTTTGTTGTTGTTCAGCATTTAGATTTAAACAGCTTATCCTGCTTATTTTTCCATATTATTTATACATTTATGTATACAGTCTTAAAAAAGTCAATTTAATTACGTAAATCTTCATTAGAAAAGTGTTGCTACACAAGTTAAAATGTAGCTAGCTACGAGCACATGGAAAACCAACAGACAAAAGATAGTAAGAAAAGAATTTTTCACTAAATTAAAGGACAACTTTCAAGACATTGCTCCTTGATATTATTGAAAAGCTGTTTAAGTTACCACGTTTAGAGACTAAGAATGATTCAATTCGTGTGATAAAAATTAATGCCCAACATAAAGTTTTGATTAGAGCCCTAAGTTGAGCATTAATTTTATTACACGAATTCATTCCGCTTGACAAGTCTCTCGCTACTATTAAGAGTGATTCGGCTATCGGTTGCTACTAATACGATCAGTGTTCACAATTAGGTAAAAAAAACAATAAAGTACAAAACTTGATAAAAATCAAAATTGAAAGTGAAAATAGTAAGCACTATCCTGGATCAACCTTTGAAAAAAAACCTGTAAATATTGGTACGCATTTTTTACGTTAAACTAAACAATCACAAAAGTTCATCATTTTAAGTCATAGTGCAAGTAATGTATCCAAACTTCTTACGTTTCCTTCATTTTCTCAGTAGAAAGAACTGAGAAAATGAACCAACAGACAATTAATATCAGTTAAAAGATTGATTCTGGGGGAAAATACTAACTTTTTCAAAGAGTCCCGCCAGTTAGCATTTCGGCAAATACTTTTCTGCCAAATATATATTGGACTAGATTTGCAGCATTTGGCTTCTTCAAGACGGTAAAGTCCATCATTGTTGGCACTTAATGCACTGAGATATAAGCCAGTGATAAACTGGTTTGTTTTGTCACAAGTTGACCATCCTTGTTTGTTGAAAGATACCCACCAATTTGCTTTTACACAGCCTGGTTTAACGTTGGCCAAAATAAATAACGTAATTTATATTTAAAATGAAGGGACAGAGCAATAATTCATTAAAGAAGTTTTTATTGTGACTAAAAATAAAATTCTTGAAGAAACATTATTATTTAACAATATTCATTGGTTGCATACAGAATGGAAGTAAAAAATAATTATTTTTATGTGATTATGTGCATAAGTACCTTTGAATTGGTTTTGAGCGTCATTAAACTAGGACCGTTTCTTATTGATCACAACTGGGGAAGGGGTGGTTGAATATTAAATTGCAGAGTGGAAACATCGTAATATGCCGATATATTGAAAAGACAAGTATATCAGAAACTCATTTTTATTTCGTTTTATTGCTTAACTTATTTTAGGAGACATGATTGTTCTAAAAAACGTAATAAAAGCCACAGCTAATTTTTTCTAATTTTCTATAAAAACTGAATAAACGACAATATGCAATGGAACGGCGAATATAATTTCGGGTAACACTGATTATGTTAAAATTAAAAACTTTATTTTTTGTAATTTTAATTGACAGCAATATATTGAAAACAACACCATACATCGTGATTTTTTTACAAAAAAGGCATGCAAGTATTTGAAAACGACAGAGCAATAATTCATTAAAGAAGTTTTATTGTGACTAAAAATAAAACTCTTGAAGAAACATTATTATTTGACTATATTCATTGGTTGCATACAGAATGGAGGTAAAAAATAATCATGTATTATGCGATTATGTGCATAAGTAGCTTTGAATTGGTTTTGAGCAATAAGAGCAAGTCTAAAAAATCATATATGGTTGAAATTGTGAACATTTAGCTCATCCAAAAAAGGCAAAGAGTAAAAACTATGTTTAAATAGAACAGGATTGTTTAAAATGCGGGCCTATTAGCTTCAGCCTACATAGCCTAATGAAATAATTGGACACTACCCATACTTGTCAATTCTTTGAATAAGTTCATAAAATACAATCTCATTGGTTTAAGAAATTTTATGTAATATATTTTCGGTGCGCACATTCTAGGACGTCTGAAAACTTGTCGGTCAAAATGCTTTTTATAGTTTGGATTTACAGAATTCCAAGTTAAAACCCATAATAAAGTCAAAAATACTTAATATAGCGTATCTAGGTTAGCAGGGCCATATCTAGGTTGCTAACTGCAGGAGTAGTGTTAACCCTAAACCTACCCCTTCCTTTATGTAGAGAAAATCAAAATGTTCTGATGTTAACATATGCTAAAGTAAATGTTTTGAACCCGGGATTATCGTTACAAGTTTGTAAATGTAGATCGTCCAGTCAAAATGACTCTGAAGATGACTACCGCTTAGGTTGTCAAAACGTCAGTCAACAACAACAGAAACAGTCCTTCTCAGGACTATACCAACCTGGACGATCTACATTTACAAATATTTAACATATGCTATTATCATTTAGAGAACCATATACTTCCAATTTATTGTGCTGATGGAGTTTTAAGTGTATTGAAGCTTTTCATAAATTTAGTACTGATTTCCCGCTTGATTTTATTGATAATGATGATGTGTGGCTTTGAGCCTTATTTTTGTGGTTACATGTAAAATGTACATGTGGCAAATTCCTTGCAAAATAGAACTGCACAGAGAACTCTTCAGATTTCTCGACTGAGAGCAAAGTTTTAAAATTGCACAGAGATGCTCTTTATTCATGATCCGTGATTAAAAGATCTTGATAAAGACACTAATACATTCATACCTTGGCACGAGTTACATTCTCCTGAAAATCCTTCCATACACGTGCAGTTCAATGTTCCATTAATTTTACGATAGTATGTGTAGGGTCCACATAAAGGAAAGCGAAAAGTTTTTGTCGCTATAAATATTAATAAAATTAAAAATAAAATCAAGCAGAGATTTTAAACGAAACATATTCTTCCTCAAAGAACACAATTTCTCATTCAGTAGCCACTATGACGTACCCAGCTAGCAAGTTTGCTATGTAATGTTGGTATTTTTGGTGTTCGCGAATATCGTAAAAACAAAACAATTAAATAAACGTTGAAACTTAACAGAGTATGAACAAATTTGCTGGCTGTTTGGGATACTAAAATAGGATGTATCTAAAGAAGTTAGATAATTGAAAAATGTTCAGAAAATTATCAATTCATCAATAGTTCTCGCAAAATGTGTCAAAGCTCGTGTATTTTGGCATTGCCTTGTCTTGTTTATTTAAAAGTAAAATGAATTAAAAATTAATCTCGAAAACCATGAGAATACTTCGTGATTGCCTCAATTTGAACTGTATGCACAAAGAAAATGAAAAGTTTCAAATCTAGTTTAATCTAAAGATGTAAAAGTTTAAACTCTGTTTTGCAATAAACTAAAATTTTAGAAAATTTGATAAATATTAAGCTCACTGAAGAACATACTCAAATTGGATGTTTTTGTCTTTCAACCTATTTTCATGAATTTTTTCTTATTTATGATTGATTACAAACCAGAGTGATTGTTGAAATGATGTAAGAAACAATAAAGACTTAAAGTTAACACCCAAGAAGTGTGGCAAGAATAGACAAACGGCAAAAACATCCAAATTAGACACTTTGCACTTTGAACTTAAAGCTTATCAAATTTTCTATAATTTTGGAAGGAAGAACAACCGTTTACTTAGGCAATGTACATTTGAACGTTTTAACGTCTTTCTATTTTATGAACATTAGCGTGGGAGTTTTTGCAAGTCTTAGATTATTACGTCAAATAAGTAAATATTTCACTACCGTTTGAGTCAGGATTGATACTGTGTATTGCTACAGCCAAATCAAGATAACCGTTGTTTACAGGAAGAAAAAATTTACGTCTCGTACGTTGATCTGTTGTGTTATGGACACTAACGACACTTTGTCCGACACTAGTCATGATATAAATGAAATCCCCAAATACTGCCATGGGACCTCCTGAAGTTCCAAAATCAATTACATTACGGGAGTAGTAATCACAAGAAAAACATTTCCGTTTGAAGCTCGCCAATAAATCTTCTCTTTAGCCATGTCAAGCGTTAGATCATGTGCTATTGACTGAAGTGAAACTGAAAAATATCATGTTTATTTGCAGTCATGCTCCATAACCATAAGAAAAGTTCTGTACTTTCTGCCAAGATTAGATACCTTAATAAAACATTTGTTTTGTACATTAGTTTTCTCTATACGTATTGAAATACATAAACAATAAACAGGCTAATATATGCAAGAAAGGAAAGATAGAATTTTTTTTTAATTTAAACAAAGATGTTGTCAAAGTATTCAGAACTACCTTCATATATAGTCGGTTTAATGTAACATATTCATGAAATTTGATAATATAGCAACATAAAGCTATTGTAATTAACAAGAAAAGATCATCTTTATCGTTTGAAATCTCTCTTTTAAAAACCGAACTAAATTATATGAAGTAATTAAACATTGCATGTGATTCAGAGCATAATAAATGTAATATGTTATTTTTATTCACATAACCTATATGATTGGTATTGTTTGAGATTATTGTCGGAATGAGTAATGCTGTTGTTTGGAGTGGCTGCCGAATGAATTGTGTTGGTAATTGATAATGCTGAAAATTAGCTGATGCGTGGAAATTTTGTTCGAAGTGAAAATTTGGTGTTGGTAAATGATATGCACTATTTAATGTAGATATAAAATAAAGAAAGCTTTGTCATTTCAATTTCAAGCTTTCTTAATTTTTCAGTTTCCTCTTGCATGAAAAGTAGCAGCTCCTTGGATGGATCATCGTCTACAAATGTCTTTAAAAGAGCTATAGCTTCACAAACATTGTCTTTTGTTGATGCTTTTTTCCAATTTGTTTGGAAAAAAGATTTTATACAACTATCTTACTTCTCTTTTTAATTGTCAAATTTTTCATTGTTTTTCTGAAAAATCAGAAAAATATTGACACCAGAGCTTTCGCTATTGGTATCATTTGAAAATGTTGATTCTATCACCATGTCATGTTCGTGTTTTCAAGAATCTCTTGATTAGACATGTTGCAAAAACTGCTTGAATACTATGGCCTTTACTTTATCGAAAATGTTTGATGCAACTGGCAGTTTTGATTATCATAGCATCATAATTGCATTCTGCAATACATTTCTAAATTATATTATGTATTTGATTAACAGTAAAGTCCATGTCTTCTTGTCGCTCATTTTACATTTCCCCGAACTCTTTAAAAACTTTCTTGTATATACTACCGTTCTTTTGGTTTTTGTGTTCGTGAAAATTAATTTTTTCTTGTAATATGATAAAAATTAATGCCCACATAAAGTTTTAATTAGAGCCATAGAAATAGACCAAAAGTTGTAAAATGGAATTCATACTGACGTTTCGTCCTTACTCAAGACATATTCAGGCAAGTAATAAATTATAATGAGATGTTAAGACAAGATATTGTATTTACAAAAGGTGTTAAATTACGACTAAAAGAGGCGTTGTCAAATGGATTACATGATAAAGAAGTTGGAAAGTAAAATTTAGTGAAGTTAAGCGAGGTTAAGTGGAATGGAACCTCCTTGCACGAAGAGTGAAGGCTTGTATTTATTGATTAGAAAGCTCTCATCAATGGAGAGTTCATAGGAATCGTTAGAAGAGAAATTATTTTAAACTCGTAAATTATTTATAACATATTCAGAATGTTCTCGCTAAACAAAGCTTTTCAGCCAATTTCTTTTTAATCACATGATTATTATCTTCAGATTCATCATCAGTAGAGCAACTACATACCTAACGTTTTCCTAAGCTACACAAAGAAGCACTGCATGAACTAAAGGTAGTGGGATGATTTCCATTCAGGTGAGTTGTTTGGTTGTGTGATTGGATTCATTAAAGGGAAGTGTGCAGCCACTTAATTTGCAGCCCTCGACTTTTCAATATACTCTGCCATTCAATGCAATTTAAGAGAAGGCTTGAAAAAACTATAAACTTGATATAATAATTATGTTTTTTTAAATTGCAACATTTTTTGAAAACTAACTACGTCGGAATGCGTGTAGTTCTTTTTATCTTCATTACAAAACGAAAAGTTGAAGTTTTTTACGTTCACCACATTCGTGAATATTTTAAAACTTTATTGCCATTCCGTATTGAGATTGTTGCACATCTCTTACACTGCCTCAAAAAAGTATACAAAAGAGCACAGCATAGCAACAAACAATGCTCCCAATTTGTTGAAATGTTATTTGTAGGACATATCTTATTAAGCATATGATTACCATGGAGGCGTCAAGCAAATTGCTTTTTCTGACAAAGAAAAAAGCTCTTAGGTGGCTAGCGAAGCCAGTAAAACAATTAAATGTACAACACTAAGTTGCACAGTGAAGTTGTACTACTTTTTTTTAGGTTGTGGAAAGCCAAATTCTGTGAGTATTTGACTAAAGTTTTATGTGCAAAATAATTACTTAATATTTTACTTCAGTTTCTACCGCTCTGTTTCATTTCATTTAATGACTTCATCATATATAAACATTGATCCCTCCGTTATTACCTTTTTTTCTCAAAGCTAGTTGGTTGCTCAACATAAATATCGCTGTCGATTTTTGCAATTTCAGGATCTGCATGTTATTTTCTACTGCATGTGTGCTGAATAGGGTTGTAAGGACTCATAGGGGTGTAAGGACTCATACGGACGCGCATTAAAAGTGCCGCAAATGTCCAAGCGATAATAAGCTTCTGTCAGTCAAGTCAAACCCGCCTACTCGTGGTGCAGCCTGTGTTTGGCTAACGGGGCTCTGGCGAGGGCGAGTTTCCGGCGCCCTTAAATTAACTGGAACCCGCTGCCTTGCGGTTAGGGTTTAACTGCCCAAAGGCTAAGGGTGAGGTAACCCTGACAGAAACCTACGGAGGACAAACCCCCCCGCAGTCACGACAGGCCAGGCCCACCTACGTGTGGACACGCCCTGCGGTCTGACAAGGTTTGCCCAGCTATGGATTAAATAGTCCCCAGCCATGGGTAAATGGTTTTCGGCGTAACAGGAAAAACGCCAGCAAAGGGCGTTCACGGATTAACTGTGTCGACGGCCTCTCCCCTGCAACCGCGTAGTTTCACAGTCGTCGCGATCATTTGTGCCACTGAAGATGGAACCGCGTGGCCAAGCCAATAGAACATGGCCTGCACAACCATGCTCTTCTCACTGTGCATGCAGTCTGCAATCAAAAGTCCATCAAAAGTCCATCAATACGGATGACTCATGACGGGGGCAGGCTTAGTAGGCTGGCAGCCTCTAGTGCGAAATTCGATTGCTGGCGGCTTGGATTCTAACAATCGCTGGATAGAATGAGAGATAATATCCTTCGGTATTTCACCAAGCGACGAGGATGCCCTTTTTTAGGGATGCGCACCCTCCCCCAATCCGGGGAAGCTCCTAGAAAAGGTGGAGTAAATCGCACTCTCATCACTCGCCTGCTCAGCACACCGCGGCTGCGGGGTACTCATTCAAAGCGGTCAAAATAACAATGAAATTCAAAAAACTTGCGGCCTGGAACGTAAGAACCCTAAATGACAATCCAGGAAACATTCGTCCTGAGCGTTCTACCGCTCTTGTAGCCCGTGAGCTACATCGTTATAATATTGACGTTGCTGCTCTAAGCGAGACAAGACTCCACGATTCGGGATCACTCACAGAGGCAGCGGGTGGATACGCTTTCTACTGGAAAGGCAAACATTCTTCAGAGAAACACGAATCAGGAGTTGGCTTTGCTATCAAGTCCTCCATCCGATTATCTGAGCTTCCAGTTGGACATTCGGACCGCATCATGTCACTTCGTTTGCTGTTGAATAAGCAACGTTCGCTCCATCTCATCAGCGTGTATGCTCCTACTATGCAGCATTCTGACATCATGAAAGATGCATTTTATGAAGATTTGTCAGCCATCATTCGCACTATTCCAGCCCACGACAAATGTATCGTCCTTGGCGATTTCAACGCTAGAGTTGGCAATGATTTCCACAGCTGGCCATCCGTTCTCGTTCACTATGGCATCGGCAATGTAAATAGCAATGGTAATCTTCTCTTAACAATGTGCGCTGAAAACAACCTGACCATCACCAACTCGTACTTCCAACTACCAAACAAATTAAAGACAACATGGAAGCACGCTCGCTCTGGTTACTGGAACCTAATTGACTACATCATTACAAAGTCAAAAGACATATCAGACTTCCATGTCACTAGAGTCATGCGAGGTGCTGATTGTTGGACGGACCATAGACTTCTAATTTCAGAGGTGTGTCTCAAGATCAGCAAACCTGCACCCAGAAAAGCTCAGAAAATTCCGAAGAAATTCTGCGTCTCGAAACTCAAATCAGAAGAAGTCGCAACATCCCTCAGAACCTGCATCGACGAACAGCTACAGAATATCACTGCTCCAGAGTGGGATAGTCTGAAGACGGTTCTTCTTAACTCAGCTGAGACTGTCCTTGGCTACCAAAAGCATTCTCATAAGGACTGGTTTGATGAGAATGACGTAGAAATTGCCGAACTAATGAAAGCAAGAATGAATGAAATCGGTGACAGACTAAAGGAAATAAAGAGGACCATAGAACAGACTCCGAGTTATGAAAGACAAATGGTGGCAAGAGCGCGCAGAAGAGACCCAAAGATATGCTGACACTGGAAATGCAAAAGAATTGTTTCGGTCGCTGAACGTCATTTACGGGCCAAAAAAGAGCTCCGTTGTCCCGCTGCTCAACTCATACGGTACCAAGCTCCTTACGACATCCGACGACGCCCGAGAACGGTGGACTTCACACAGCTTCTAAGCGAGACCAGCATCTATGATGAGGATGTCATCAACAATCTCCCTCAACGACCTATGATTGACAC